TAGTTAGATCGATGGTGGGACCAATAGTGAGAGCGTAGTCATATCGATAGTGAAATCGATAGCGACATCGATAGTGGACCGATTGCGAGATCGGTCATGCGCGGGCCAGTACGGTTGCCTTTACCCCTCCCTGTAAACAAGGGGCGCGCGGGCTGTGCTTATCAGCTGGTCGCGGGGCATGGGCCCCGATGGGTTTAGCCACGCGGTCCGCGCGCGCGTGGCTATGTCGTTTCGCTGGGTGGGCCTCGTCGGCGAGTGGGCGTAGATTCATGGGCGGGGGGGGCGCGTGGGCGTCGGCCTTTGGGCATGGCCGAGTGGGCGGGGCCGCTCGGGTGGGGCTCGTTGCAGTGGAGGCACGAGCGGTGCCCGAGGGGCTCGGCCCCGCGGTGCAGGGGGGCCCGCGGATACCGTCGTGTTGGCGGTGTCAGTGGGTCGGGGTTGCGAGGGCGGGGCCCCTCTGGCGGGGCAACATGGGCGGGGCCCCGCGGGGCCCATGACGATGCCGTTTGGTTTAGATCATGCTGGCGGGGGCTCGTCGGCGGGACCGTCTCGGCAAGGGCGCGCGCACTGGGTTCGGTTGTTTTGCCCCGCGTGCGGGGCCGCTCGCCAGTGGGCCCGTTGGTGGTCTCACGGACGGCACAGATTTTGCAAGTTCGGCTTATCGGTCGCGGCCGCGCGGGCGGGGCGTCGCGGGCGGGGTCACGGGGGCGAGGCCATCGGGCGGGCACTGCGAAACCGCACCATGCATTGCCCAGGACAATTCCTGAGTGCAGTGGGGCAAGTGCTTGGCCGTGCAAGCAATTATTCCGAGCGCGTTTCGCAGGCTGCTGCATCGCCCGCGTTGGTCGTTTTCGTCCGTAGGCGCTCCCGACTTGCACTATCAGCCAGGTTTGCTCTGGCTTTTTTCGTAGCGCTCGAGAAACGCCGCACCCCCGCGCGCCCAGGACTTAGCTGGGCAGCGGCGCAGCGGCAGAAGTGCCGCGATGCGCTCGGTGATCCCCGACCAGGGTCACCGCGCGATCACGGTCTGGCAGTTGCGCGGCGGTGCGCGCGGACGTTCAACTATGGGCGCAGCCGCCCCCGCGACGTAACGTCGCCATTATAGCTCCTGCCTTTTTGGCGCGCGCAGTCTGTGGGTTTGCTGTCCCAGCGAATGGTTTCAGTTGTTTCGTTTCCAGCTAGCGCGGGCGGCTCTTCATTATGAGGCATGATGCTGGTTGTTTCAGCAGGCCGTCGCCGAGTTCCCACGCGCGCGCCCCGTCCGTTTCGATGGGCGTGGATTTGGTCGGCCAACGAATCGATGCACCAGTCTTTGCGGCGTTGCATCGGCGACGCCGCATTGCAAAAAGCCGTTGGTACTTTGGAACCTATTTTTTTTCGGTTGCTACTTTCTACGTTTTTCGTAGGTACTTTGGAATGTACCCTAGAACCTATCCGTGTAGCTACTTTGCTCTTTTTGGCCACCCTCTTGACGTAGCGGGACGTGCCTATCATAATCGGTCAGAGGAGGAAAGGTACTCATGCTGCTATTATTCTCTCGCTTTCCCCCTTTTGGGCCTCCTGGGCGGCCCTCGTCGCGACCGCTGAATTCGCCTTGAAATTCTTGTCAGAACGCACCTCGGGAGAGGTCTGGGGGCTAGCGGTATCGGTACCTCTTGGTTTCCCGAATCGAGGAGCATCCTGGATCATCTGGCAAACAATGAACGCACGAAACCGAAACATACACGGGGAATGGACGTCCAAGCGATGGCAAGGTGCCACCTCTGTCTAATGGCGTTCGACCCATCGGACAAGAGGCGGTGTTGGGTGTCAGTCTAAGGTAGGTTCGCGTCGTATCCACCGTCGGCGACCCCGCCGCCGGCGTTCAACGCTGAACCCAGCCGGCGGTCCAGACTCGGTCGATATTGAACGATCGGATGTTCCAGAAGCGGCCCATCGTTGAAGGTGGCACGCTCCCCGCCGTGTCAGGAACCAACGCCGAAGTCGGCACGACACGAACATGCCGTAGTGCCGCAGTGGCGTACGACACGCCACTTGGCCCGTAGTGGGGTCCGTCGGGCCATCGTGGGGCATCGCGGGGCCCTGTTGGGCAGCCTCGGGGCCTTCTTTGTGCCCCCTTGAGCCGCTTACACTCTTATGCCTCGCTGGACTCTAAACACGGTTCGGCACTGCCACTGCCAATGTCACCCTTTCGTCACGGCCCCTTCCTCGGGTGACGGCGACAGCGACAGCGGATCGGGGTTTTGTAGCGCGCGTTGGGTAGCGCGGCGTTGCCAGCTATTTCCGTTGACGTTTTGAAGTTGGTTCTTGTGTTTGTCGTCCCCCGAAGGTGCCCAAAGATTGGAGCGGGGTCGCCGTCGTCGTCAGTGGTGTCGTCGTCGTTGTCGTCCTTTAGTCATCATCGTCGGTGTGGTCGCCGTCGTGATCGTTGCAGCCGCCGTCGTTGTCACCGTTGTCGTCGTCGTCGTCATAATCTTCGTCGTCGGTGTTGTCGTAGCCGCTGTCGTTTCCGCCGTCGCCGAGGTTGGGGAGCCGAGGAGGCGGAGGAAGGATGGATGCAGGAGGAAACGCAGGGAGCTAGCACGTGTAGGAGTGTAGGAGCAGGAGCGCCAATAGTAGATTAGCATATTGGATTGCATTTGGGCCGTCTTTTGCAGAATGTGGGTCCTCTTGGCCCGTCTTAGGGTCGTGTCTAACGAGAGTTGCCCGAGACCTTTTGGGGAGCCGTTTGGCCTTTCGGGGGCCTCTTGGGAGCGCCTCGGGGGCCTAGTTTGGGCTCTCGGAGCCCATAATGGTACCCTCTTGGGGCCATCGCGGGCGCTTCGCGCGCGGCCCCCTTCCAGACCCAAGGAGAGTCTTTTGTGCTCATATAAGAGCAATCCTCTCGGCCATGCTTGGTTAATACAACCTCTGGTGCGCTGTGGTCTGACCACAAGGAAGACTATCACCACAAAGATCACAACGAGACCCAGGGAGAGAGGGCGAGGGGAGGGACAGGGTGAACCCCTCCCCGAAGGGGAAGAAGTGGGTTCGAAGATGACACCCCTCAGAAAACATCCGCCCAGATGGCCGATGTGGGACTCAAAGTGGGAATGTACTGATGCCTTGCGCTGTCTAAGAGCCTGCATTCCATGTCCAACCCCTTGAGGATTCCGCACGGTACTTCTGCTGGTGACTGCTTGGAGGAGGCACACAATCTCATCAGTGCAAGCATTGTTTTGGGCTTTACTCGGCAGGGGGAAGATATTTCGATTTGACGCCAACATTCGATGCATGTTGGGCTCGATCCGCGGAATGCTAGCCCGAGCTATTCTTCCGCAAACGTCGTAGGTCTCAAAGACGAGGGGTCCAACACACCACCCGCGGCGCAGCGCAATGGTGGATTATCATCATGGTCATCGTCCTTGCTCGGCCGGGGGGGTTAGGACAGGGTGTATCTTTCCAGAGCGTTCTGGAACGCTCTCAGAGCTTTCTGGATCGCTCTGAGAGGGCCGCGGCGCCTTACACATCTTTCGGAATGGCCAGATCTCAGAGATCCCCGATTCATCCTGGGCCGATGTTGTCCTTGTCTTGGTTTCTTCCTGCTTGTCGTCTGTAGCCGGGTCTTGTTCAAGCTGGCAGCCCGCCTCCGCCTCGCACGCAACTCTTGCCTCTGCGGTCGCGCGAATCAACCCGGCGTCCCACGCTCGGACAAGACCTGGAACCCACGGCCATCAGCGATGGTAGCTTGTTGGAGAGGCGTCGCCCGCGTGCTCGACGGCACCCGGGGACAAGATGTCCTCTTTGATCAGAACGGCGGCGCCCTCGCGTCCGCGAAGGTGGATTCCGCCACGTGGACCGCGCCAGCACCGAGCCCCAGCTACGGCCTCGTGACGAAGTTCGAGAAGCAGCCGAAGGGTCCGAAGATACCCGAGCAGATGATGAACGAGATGCACGAGCTGCGGGATCGGCTGATCGAGTCGGAGCAGGCGAAGAAAAGGGTGCGCGAGGCGGAGCAACGCCCCCGCCTCGGCGCAGAGCCGCCAGAGCCTCGCAGGGCTCCGGATGTGATCGTCACCGAGGAGGCCGCTGGCAAGCGCAGCCCGGAGCTCAGATGAGGAAGAGGTACCGATCCTGCTGGCATTCCCTCTTCCCCCTTTCGAAGAAGAAAACAGCAGCATGAACCTAAACTTTCGGCGTTCCGCACGGATTTCTTGGATCCGCGCTGGGCCACCCTGGCGGCGCCTCCGGCCCCGCCCTAGGCGCGCTCCGCGCGCCAGGGAAGGGGGTCAGCGCAGACCTCAGAAATCCGCGCGGGGCGCCAACAATCTATGTTGATGCCGCTCTTTCTTCTTCTGCCCTCGTGGGCTTCCTGGGAGGCCCTCGCCACCGCTGGATGCGCCTCGCAGTGTTGATCAGAAGGCTCCCCAGGAGAGTTCTGGAGAGTAGCGGTGTCGGTACCCGTGGGTTTCCCCAGGAGTGCGGAGACAGCGTGCGCATCGGCTACTCCGTCGTCCTGGCGGGGGAGGACGCGCCGATCGTGGACATGTGCCCGGATTTCGAGTACGTCATCGGGGGCGGCCCCCGAGGTTCGGGGTGTCCAAGAGGGGGGTGACGACTAGGCTAGGGGCGGTGGACATCATGGTGGGGGGGGGCAGGATATCTCCCCGGTGTCGTGGCCCCCTCTTCTTCTTGCAATGCGTCCCCTGGCCCCCCCCCTCGCCCGAGCACATGCCGCTGGCCATGATCTGTGACACCCCCTTCTCGGTTGCCTCCGCTGGGACGCCCCCGAGAGGCACCGGACAACTCACTGCGGATGCGCTCGAGCGCATGTTGGCAAAGCTGCGCAGGGGCCAGATAGCTTCTATGCAATGCACCCTGGGCGACCTGTTCCTCCCTGGATCGCCTCAGGTTAGGGAGCACGGGGCAGAGACGCGTGCTGTGTGCGAGGCAAGGCTCTTCGAGATTTACCAGACGCGAGATTGTTCCTTCCAGAAGGGAGGGGGAAAGGTCTTCAAAGAGGTAGTGAAGGAGGGCGTGGGGGCATGGTGCGACACTCCGACCGACGAGGGGACGGCGCTCTTACGCGTGGAGGAGGTCACGACCGACGACGGCACCAGACTGTACCCGCTCGGCGGTGATGCTCCCATCGAGCAGTGGGTGGTCCCTGGCAACGGACAGGTCTGCGACGCTCTCGAGTGCGCCGTGCTCGAGATGCGGCAGCACGAGACGGCGCTGGTCACCTGCTCGGATCCTGCCTTCTGCGCCGGCGGCCAGCCCGAGCTGGAGGCTGCCCCAGGGGGAGGGGCCACGTACCGCGTGACGCTCCTCGACTACACGAAGGGCCCAGACGTCTGGAACTTCCCGGAGGAGGAGAGGCTGAAGTTTGGAGAGCGGCGCAAGGCGATCGCCAATGCGCTGTTCAAGAAGGGCCGCTTCCGGCTTGCCCACGAGCGGTACCGGCGCGTTGAGGAGTTGTTCCACCACCTGGACCGCCCCAAAGGGAGTACCGTCAGCCCAGTGAGGGACAGGTTCAATGCTCAAGTCGTCCCGGGAGAATTGCGTGTTTTTCAAAAGTCGCATTCGGCTTCCAAACAAGAATCGGCTTCGAAGCAGACTTAGAGCATTGCGTGTTTGTCCTAAGTCGAAACACACAGTTCTCTCAGGCGGCTAGGTGGGAGTCGAATGCCACGCCCAAAAACGCGCAGTTCTCTCAGGCCGGCTTGAGCATGGCGCCGGACAGGTTCCTGGGCAAGCCCGAGCTCGCCCAGAGCTGCAGGGAGCTCAGGAGCGCCTGCCGGCTCAACATGGCGGCCTGCTGCCTGAAGTTCGGCGATCCCTCGAGGGACAGCAGGCGGCATAGGCACGAACCTCTGGAGCTCCGTGCGAACTTCCCGGATCGGCGCTGCTTCCCGCTCTTCGGGAGCCTTGCGAGGGGGCCAATGCAGGCGGGGGTCAGCCAGAGCGCCCGATTTTGCAGGGTCCTGCAGGGCCAGGGTCGCACTGACCTGGGTCTGGGTGCACGATCTTGCAGGATCTTTTCGCCTTGACCAGGGTCTGAGTGCAGGATCCTGCAGGATTCTACAGGATTCTGCAAGGCCTGACTGACCGACACTGGTCTGGATTAATACGGGTCAGAAGATCCCCGACACTTCCTGGCGTGCCAGAGCGCGCCAGGTGCGGTGCTGGAAGCGCCGCCAGGGGGGTCCAGCGCCGATCCAAGAGATCTGCGCGGAGCTACCAAAGTTTGTTCGGGGAAGCGCGAGGCTCGAGTTCGACGGAACTCGGGCTTGCCGACGCTGTTTGACGAGTCCGTCCGGGACTTCGACGGTCCAGTTTTTGTTGTGGGACGTTTGCAGCGGCCTACGTCTCATCAAATTTTAGACTGCGTCTCGTCATTTCCCTGACGGCCCGGTCAGGCCAACCCGAGCCTCGTTATTCGGCGGCGCGCAGAGGGGGTAGGGGGAGGGGGGAAGGCTACTTAGAAGGAGGCTGCTTCGTCGAAGGCGCGGACCTTCCACCTACAGACAAGGCCCACGCCTTCTCTGAGAAGCAGGCCTGCTTCTGAGAAGCCTCCCCCCCTACCCCCACCCTCCCTCGCGCGGCCGAGTTGCCTCCGCCGGGGTGACCCGAGTCCTACACCTTAGTCGATGCTTAAGAAAACTTAAGTTTTCGACCAGAGTCTCGATTATTCTTAATGTTTCAATGTAAATCCCAAGATTTTGATAGAAATTTTGGGTTTTTATTCAAGTTCTGAGACTATGAATTTCTTAACCCATCATTTCTTAAGCATTTCGCAGGGTGTACGTCTCTCCGATGTGTGTCTGTGCCGCTCCCTGCTCCTCCTGATCCCGCGGGCGCCAAGCGGGCGTGCGACCTGGTGCTCGCGGCCGAGCCGGAGAGCCGCAAGGCGCTGTTCCGGCGCGCGCAGGCCTTCGCGCAGCAGAAGGACTTCGTGCAGGCGCTCGCCCCTGGGGGAAGCGGGTCCCGAGGGACGCTATTCGGTGTCGTTTGACCGATCCCCATCGCCACCCCCATCCCCCTTCGAGACCCCCACCAAATCACCCCCCCTAGTTGGGGATACACGCCTCGAAGCCCGAAGGGAACAGCCTAGATCCCCATGTAGGGGGGCAAATCGGCCAGTGGGGCCGAGGCCACGCCGCTGGGGATGGGGATCGGTTAAACGATATTCAGTTGTGAGCGAATGGCGACGCGATGTTTTTCGTTATTTTCGGCCCCCGAGGGCCCTTACCGGTGCTCGTGATCGTCAAATCACGACTCAGCGCGACATCTGGGGATCGACGTTGTGAACAAATCACGACGCCAGGGGTCTGGGATCGGGCCCTGAGGGAAATTGGTTTGTATGCTTTTCGCCGGTTTCTGGCGCTCGGGGCCCTCCACGGGCCTCGGGCCTTTCAGAAAACGGCGCAGGATGAAAGACTCGGTTTTGGGGGGAAGGCTCCCGGGTCCAGGACCCGTTTCACTCAGGAGCCGCTTCCCCCATGCGAAAGGCGTCCCTAGATCTCGAGCGGTTGCTCGACATCGACGGCAGCATTGAAGAGGCACGGGCCCTCTACAAGAAGGTGCAGGTCGCGCGACGCGTATCTCGGAGGAGGGCCAGTCGAGACAGCGACGGTCCTCCCTGGCGTTTGTCGCGCTCTTCGGGCTCCCCGAAAGGCTTCTCGTCGCCACGGCTGGATCCTCCCCGAAAGGCGGGTCAGGATGGACCCCGGGAGCGGTCCAGGGACCGATTCCGAGCGGCATCGGGCCAGGCGTGCGAGCCGCCGTTGTCTCGCTTTGTTTTTTCCTCCGGGCATCGGACCAGCGGCAGCGGAAGAGCTTCCACTTCGGCGCCACGTTCGGCGGGATGCAGGACCCACGCTCCGTCAAATGGGACTACACGGATGCCGCCATGGACGGCCCTGGCATGGAGGCCGTGCCGATATCGTCGCACTTCCATCCGAAGAAGGCGCTTGCGATCAAGGCTTGATACCATGGCGTCACCACTTCGCAGCTGCATGGGTAGTCCGAAGCTCAGGCAAATCTACTTCGATCATTTCCCCGAACTGGCGCACTCGCTCAGGGGTACTTGCATCAGTCCCCTGGAGATGCCCAGGATTGCCGCGAGCACTAATGCCCCCGCTGGCCGCTACCCTGCCTTGCCGCTGCTTCCAGTGTCGCGAACGCTGGTTATCGCAGTTGTTCCTTGTTTTGTTTATCGCAGGAGTTCGTTGCAATCTTTAGCGAGTATGTTGCCATGCCGCGATTGCTCGCTGTTGTCGCATACCGCTAGTTTGTTTTGCCCTCATAGGCCGCGATCGCTGGTTGCCGCCATTGGCCCTTTCCCAAACATCCTGTGGTGGCGGGTCCTCGTTTTGAAGTGACAGCGCCTCACGTTCCTCCTTCCTTCTCCTCCCCCTCCCTTCTCCTCCATCATCATCAGCAATCTAATGCACCCCTCAAACGCTGTGCCCCCGTAGGTAGCTCCGCTGAAGGCCCCAGTGGCAGTGTATACATGATCCTTGCTCCAGGTCCGACCCACACCCCCAGATGGGATGGGTCCCAGGACTCGGCGGGCCCCCCCCACCCCCCCACCCCAGATGGGATGGGGGAGGACGACGTCGTCGCCGTCGTCGTCATCGTCGCCGTCGTCGTCGTCGTTGCCGCCGTCGTCGTCGTCGCCGTCGTCGTCGTCATCGCCGTCGTTGTCGTCGTCGCCGTCGTCGTCCCTCCCTCTCTCCACTCATGTCTTCCTTCCTCCATCCCCCCCTCTCTCACGCCCTCTCTGAAACGAAGAGGCGGAAAGTGACGCAGAGGCAGACGATGACGGCGGCGAAGATGCCGACGACGACGATGACGATTTTTCTCAGATCGCAGACGTAACTTCGGAACGCACCCCCATCCTAGTTCCTTATTATCATATACCCCCACCTACCTCGTATTCCGGCCGATAGCAACCCGATCCGGGACCTCCCATCTGGACTTCAAAAAATCAATACAAAGTGGCCGTTTTTCTTCTCAACATCGTCTTTCTTGTCGTCGACGATGCGAAAAGCGTGGCAGGAATGGGACGCGGCGCACATCGCGCGCGGCAGTCAATCTGAGCCCGCCTATCCTGATTGTAAAAAACCAATACAAAGTCTTCGTTTTTCCTATCAGCATGGCCTGCCTTGTCGCCGACGGTGCGAAATATGTGGCAGCAATGGGGCGCGGCGCACATATGGGACGCGGCGCGCATCGCGCGCGGCCGTCAATCCGGGCCCGCCCATCCTGACTGTAAACAATCAATGCAGAGTTGCTGTTTTTTCCTCTCAGCATGGCCTGCCTTGTCGCCGACGGTGCGGACGTACATGCGGGCTGCGGGCCCTCCCATCCTGACTGTAAAAGACAATACAGAGTTGCCGTTTTCCCTTTCATCATGGCCTGTCTTGTCGTCGACGATGCGAAATGCGTGGCAGGAATGGGGCGCGGCGCACATCGCGCGCGCAAGGCGGGAGGGGCCACCTTATTTGTCAGAAGCAATGCCATGCATGCCATGCTGATTATCCCTGCCCACATAGCTGTTCTTGTCGTCCACCCCGCAAAAGTGCATGGCAAGAATTGGGCGCGGCGCACCCCCCTCCCCCCCCGCTCGAAGTGAATGAAATGACCTTCTCGCTTGGGCGCCGAGCGAAATTTTATCAAAATTGCGCTCCCGCTTTGGCTCGGCGCACGTTTTTAGCTCGCCAATTCATTGGGCGCCGGGGCGTTCCAGGAGGCCCTGGGGTGACGAATGCCTGGGAGGTTTTTGCTTGTTCAGGCTCTTGGACGGCCTCCTGAGGCTCCCCGCGGTTTCTTGGCGCTCCCCGCGGTTTCTTGACGCTCCCCAGGCTTGAGCTGCAGGTCGCTGGATGGGCGCGGTACTGGACCCAGGCTCCCGAGGTCGGCGAGACGATGGAGTGCTACAGCGAGTGGCTCGACCACTGCGTCGGCTACGTCACGCAGATCCTGTCCCAGCCGCGCTTCGCCACCAGGCTACGGGCGCGTGGGAGGACGGCCGAGGAGATGGCCGAGGAGATCTGCGAGCGGGCCTGGGGGACTGGCATGCCTGCGAGGCGGGCCTACTACAGGTGGCGCCACACGCTGACGCGGTCGCAGAGGATCGTGTCGGACTGCATGCGGCGCTACGACTACGTGTGCCTGCGGACGTGGCTGGCCGAGCTGCGGCGGGAAGGGCAGCCACCGCCCATTGGCCCGCTCAGAGCGCCTTCGGTGCCGTGGAATGCGGGACGCAGGAGGCGACGGAGAAGTGGTTGAAGGTCGGCCCCTCCTGGCACGGGCAGCCGCTGCGTGGCGTTCTGGCCCCAGCGGCTCGCCGCAAGGCGCTGCGCGGCGGTCTGGCCCCAGCGCGCCGCCCTTCGCGTCCGTCGACGTGATCGGCATCACTGGCCTCCCCTGAGGCTGCGGCCCCCTGGCCGCCTGTGCTGCGTCTAGTTGGCCTGGCCGACGCGACGTCCTGCCGCTGCTCTCCGCTGCTCTTGGCGCTACGGCCGTCTGGAGGCCATCTTGGGCGCCTTGATACGATCTTTCGGCGACTCAGGGCTACTAGTAGTAGTAGTAGTAGTAGTAGTAGTAGTAGTAGTAGTAGTAGTAGTAGTAGTAGTAGTAGTACTGCTGCTACTACTACTACTACTACTACTACTACTACTACTACTACTACTACGACTACGACTACGACTACGACTACGACTACGACTACGACTACGCTACTACTACTACTACTACTACTACTACTACTACTACTACTACTACTACTACTACTACGACTACTACTACTACTACTACTTACTACTACTACTACTACTACTACGACTACTACGACTACGACTACTACTACTACTACTACTACTACTACTACTACTACTACTACTACTACTACGACTACGACTACGACTACGACTACGACTACTACTACGTACTACTACTACTACTACTACTACGACTACGACTACGACTACTACTACTACTACTACTACTACTACTACTACGATTACTATGACTACTACTACAACTACTACTACTACTACTACTACTACTACTTACTACTACTACTACTACTACCACTACTACTACTACTACTACTACTACTACTACTACTACTACTACTACTACTACTACTAACTACTACTACTACTACTACTACTACTACTACTACGACTACTACTACTGCTACGACTACTACTACTACTATACTACTACACTACTACACTAGTACTACTACTAATACTACTACTACTACTACTACTACTACTACTACTACTACTACTACTACTAGTACTACTACTACTACTACTACTACTACTACTTCTACTACTTCTACTACTTCTACTACTTCTACTACTATTACTAATACTACCACTACGCGCCAGCACCTTGTTGCGCCAGCATTGCTTCTTATGTTGTGGGAGGGCGGGACGTGTCCGATGTTCCTTTCAACATGGCCACTGGGGTATCCTCCACTCGACGTGAAATGCCCGCGCAGCCCCCAGTTGTGCCATCACTGTTTCTTCTGTTGTGGGAGGGCGGGTGGGAATGGGCATGCCATGCTTGACTCGCTCGAGCTGGCTAGCTTGACCACACCACACCTACAGGCCACACCACACCCATAGGGGGGGGCAGGCACATCGGGGGAGGTGTGGGGGCCCAATACCATCAGCATGTTTGGGGGGGGGCCTGGGACTTGGATCATACATGCGTTCCGCCATACCCAATACAGCGTTTCGTGGTCCCATAGAGTGCCCCACCGAGGCCCCAATTTCAGGACACGCAGGCGTCTCCCACTCTCAGCTCTCGGCGGTCCCATAGGGAGCTCACCGAAGGCCCCAGCGACAGGGTGCACATGTGTCTTTCCCACCCAGCACTGCTCATGGCCCGGGAGCCCCACCGAAAGTTCCAGTGGCAGTGTTATACGCGCCCCCCCCCCCCCCCCCCACACACACAATCAGGACATCGCTTCATGGCCCCATGGGGAGCTCAACCGAAGGCCCCAGCGGCAGAGTTCACACGCGTCTCTCCCGCTCAGAAAGCGTTTCGTGGCTTCAAATGGAGCCCCACCGAAGGCTTCAGTGACAGGGCTAACAGTTTACATGCGTCTTCCCAACTCAGTACAGCGCTTCGTGGCCACATGGGAAGCTTCCCGAACGCCCCAGTGGCAGGGTTTACATGTGCCTTCCCCACCCAGTAACGTTTCGTGGTTCACATGGAGCTTTACCGACGGCCCCAGTGGCAGGGTTTACATGCGTCCCCCCCAAAGCCTCCGCGGCACGTACGCATCCCATCCAGCACAGAGCTTCGTGGCCCCATAGCGAGCTCCACCGAAAGCCCCAATGGCAGGGTCCACGCGCGTCTCCCCCAACCAGTACAGCGTTTCATGGCAGATTGGGAGCTCCACCGAATGCCGCAGTGGCAGAGTCCACATGCGTCCCCCCACCCAGCGCAGCGCTTCGTGGCCCAATGCGGAACCCCACCGAAAGCTTCAGTGA